AAATAATTAGTTTTTGGCAGCTTGCCGAATAGGCTCTTAGACCACTTACAAATCTTTTTATTGAGTTTTCTTATCTTATTTATTTCTTCATTAAGATAACAATAAAAACAATAAATCTAATATGATCCTATATAAATGGGGTCTATGGAGAGTGCGGTGTACGCATATCTTACTTACCTTGTGTGAGATTGAGAGAGTATTTCCGATTGACCCTCGGTTCAAAAAATTCATTTTTAAAATAAGTTTAAAAAATACAGGAGTAAAAAAAAGCTGAAATAAAAATACTGAAGAAATAAAAAGTTTTGACTGATTCGTCATTAAGAGTTTTCTTTAAATTCAATAGTTTTTGAAAGGTGAGTCTCACAACCAGATGAATAGCCTGTTTGTCCAAGCTTTTTTCTGGGACAAAAATGCTTTTGGCCAAAAATTGAGGTGTTTGGCCAAGCTTTAAGAAGGAAAAAAAAGTGTTTTCTAGGAGAAGCACAAACAGTTTTTGAGAAGTAGAAAAATGTAGCTTCTCTCCAAAAGCACTTTTCTGAGAAGCGCTTTTGAGAAAAATACACTTAGAAGTAGTTTTCAAAAGTTTGGCCAAACACTAATTACCGCTCAAAATGCTTTTCAAATTAATTAGACAAACGCAAGAAAAAAGCATTTCTCAAAATAAACAGATTTTAGAAGCTTGGCCAAACAGGTTATAAGGTGTGCTGCTTTTTCCAACATAAACTAGGGATTAGCAAACAACACAGATTCTTAAGATAATTCCATACTACTATAAATTAAAAGTAAAAAAGAAAAATTCTTTACAAATCTTCAAAGAATCAAAAGAGGGTAAACATGTAATGGATTTAATGATAAAGAGTTAAAATTTTAAACTCATTAAGCTAAAATCTTATATCCTATCTGACTTATAGCTCATAAGGTTAGTTAACTATAATATAGCTATCCTGTAGACCTGTCATGACCTCAAATATCCGGTCGTGATGGCGCCTATCATATTCAAACCATTAACTACAATAAATTCCTTTTATAAAACCATTTTCTAACACAGTTTAAATACCAAATTTCCATAATAGGTGTTTAAAAACAACAAAATATAAGCGGAAGTCAAATAAACATGAACTACACAGCCCCAAATATTTGGTGTCACGAGTCTAGAGCCTCTACTACATAACTAACTGTCTGATACAACATAAGACTAGAAAATGCGGAAACGAACAAGATAGGAAGGGGAAAACAGGGTTGTGGATGCCATGCAGCTACCTTAAAATCTTCGGCAACCTCTGGATCAGCTGAGGACCCTCACTCTACCACTCGGGCACCTGGATCTGCACACAAGGTGCGGGGAGTAACGTGAGTATGCCAACTCAGTAAGTAACTAGAGTAAATAAGGTATGAAAGTAGTGACGAGCATTTAAAAATCATATAATTGAATAAACAACAGGATAACAAATCCATTTCACAGTTTAAAACCAGTTTCATCGTAAAATTATCAACTTCAGTTTAAACACTTGAAATCATATACTTAGCAATTTTTCCAACAGAGGCTATTTTTAAAAGAAGAGTGAAATCAGTGAAAATATCATAACTGGGCCCCTCGAGCAAGGTATCACTCAGAATATGGCCTCTCGAGCAGCCTCTCAGTCACTCGTGACTCACTCTCGTCACGCAATACCCACTCTCAGCACTCAGGCTCATTAATATCTCATAATCATAGAAATCATAGTAACCACTGCGGCATGCAGCCCGATCCGTAACTTATAGTCGACTACGCTCACTGGGGGTGTACAGACTCCGGAGGGGCTCCTACAGCCCAAACGTCATATCGCTGCGGCACGTAGCCCGATATATATATATATATATCGCTGTGATGTGCATCCCGATCTATAACTCACACATATATAGATATTCTCACCATTAGGTTCTCAACCTCTCTGAGTCATTAACCTCACAACCTCTCGGGCATACCAGTAGAAATTAGGGAACTCAATCCAAACAGTCCTTACATTCAGAAGTGGAGTGATAAAACCAGTTTTAAACATTTAAACAGGTAAAACATGACTGAGGATATGCTTTCAACAAGTAAAGTGAGGAAAAATAATAAAAATACTCTTAAGGGTCTCAACAGGTCGGCACAAGGCCCCAAACATGGCATACATCCCATAATACAGTATAAATGACTAAAGTACGGAATAATATAAGATTTCATATCAAATACGCAACTTAGTAGTCGCTACGGGACGAACCAAGTCACAATCCCTACCAGTGCACTCTCACACGCTCGTCACCTAGCATGTGTGTCACCGCATTTTTCAACACAAGTCAAATAGCGGTATTTTGTACCCTTAGTTTCAGATTTATAATGGTTACTTACCTCAAACCAGTGAAAATACTACTCCGTGATGCCTTTGCCCCTCGAATCGGCCTCCACGTCGAATCTATCCAAAATCAGAATCACGACGTCAAAATATGCTAAGGGAATGAAGCCCAAGCGAAAACAATCAAATAATACCAAAAATCCCAAATTGACCAAAACCGACCCCCCGGCCCACATTTCGAAACTCAATAAAAATCACATCAACGGAATCCTTATCCTCTCACAAGTCAAAACATACCAAGAACACTGAAATCGGAGTCCAAATGACCCCTCAAATTCTCATTTTAAAGTTTCTTAATCTCAAGCCCTAATTTCTCAATTTTAGGCTTAGATTCCATGATTTATTAGGTAGATTTCGCATTAGAATCGAGTTTTAAGTCCAAAATTCTTACCTCCAAGTGATTCTCATTGAATCCCTCTTCAATACCCTTTAAAAAGGTCCAAAAACGACCAACAATGGAAGAAATAAATCCCACATTTGTGGACAAGACGACCTTTTAAACCTTCTGCCCAGGCCTGAAATCCTTCTTCGCGAACGCGGTCAAAGCCTCGCATTAGCAAAGCACAAATTAACTTTGACCAATTTTTCCTCTTTCGCGATCGCGACATCCCATCGCAAATGCGATACTTTGCTCAGACTAACCTTCGCGATCGCATTCCGCCTCTCCCGAACGCGATGAATAAAATCCACTGAAGCTCAGCTGCCCATTTTCTTCTATGTGAACGCGACACCACCCCGCGAACACGATGCACAAACACTTAGCCCTTGGCGAACGGAAAGTCTTAAATTCCACCTTACTCAACTGACTCTTCGTGAACGCGAGGGCCCACTCACGAACGCGAAGAGTAAAATACCTGCAACAACTGAAACCAAAATCTGCAACTCTAAACATCAAGAAATAATCCGATTGACCACCCGAAACTCACCCGAGGCCCCCGGGACCTCAACCAAAGGCACCAACATATCCCAAAACCTTATTCAAGCTTTTCCCAATCTTCAAAACACCTCAAACAACATGAAATCAACCAAAACACATCGGATTCAAGCCTAAGTTTCCAAAATCTTTCGAATTCCGCTTTTGATCAAATACTTAACTAAATCATGCCCGAATGGCTTAAAATTTTGCACACACATCCCAAATGATACAATGGAACTACTAAAACTCTCGAAATTCCATTCCGATCCCTATATTTAAATCTCATCTACCAACCGGAAATCGCCAAAAATCCATTTTCGCCAATTCAAGCCTAAATCTACTCTGGACTTCCAAAACTCATTCCGATCATGGTCCTAAGTGCCAAATCACCTCCCGAAGTTAACCGAACCATCGAAACTCACATCCGAGCCCTCTAACACATAAGTCAACATTTGGTTGACTTTTCCAACTTAACCATCCTCAAAAGAGACTAAGTGTCTCAAACCTTACCAATTCCTTTCCGAATCCTAACTAATCAACCCGATCACATATAGAACCATTATACAAAGCATTAAGAAGTAGAAATGGATAAAATAGAGTGGTAGCTCATGAGACGACTGGTCGGGTTGTCATAAGACCACTCTTGTTTCGTCGATTATAAAATAGTTTTGTTAGTAACAATGGAATAATTTTGTTCATAGGAACAAAAAGAAGCTAACTTTATTTTATACTCACACAAGTACAGATGGGAAAGCTGATCCCATTGCTATGAGCTAATGGGTCCATACTTATTTATCATGAGAAAAACCTATTCATAATAATTTGAGCTTGTTCATTCTGTCTTTCTTTGTGAATTTTCATAACCTATGGATATATAAATATGATAAAATAAATATAAATATTATAAAGGCAATAGATAAAATTATTACATTTCCACCTCAAATTATCACTGATAGTACTCCCTTCGTTTCAATTTAGATGAAGTAGTTTGACTCGGCACGGAGTTTAATAAAAAAAAGAAGATTTTTAAAACTTGTGGTCTTAAAAGCTTAAGGGGTAAAAGCTTTGTGGGACGTGACATTTGTGTGGTTATAAAAGCTTCTCATTAAGGGTAAAATTGGTAAAATGAAAAGTTTAAACTTGAATTGTTTCCAAATTTAGAAATATGTCATTTACAGACTAAAAAGAAAAGTACCTCGTCTAATTTGAAATGGAGAGAGTATATTTTTTCTCGAAAAAAAAGAAGAGGAATGAAAACAAAGGAAAAAAAAGGAGGGAGAGAGGGGGGTTGGTGGAAAATTTTATTTTGTGTCAGTTGTATGAGACAACTTTTTTGTCTCACAATTTTGTGGACCCAGATTTCTGTGGACCCAAAAGTATAAAATTGTGATTCACAAATTTGTAAGATAAAAATGACTCTCTTACAATTAGTATAAATTGTATGAGATACAAAATAAAAATTCTCGGGATTGGTTATGAACTTATGAAGGACTATGGAATTCGTGGCGATAAAAGATTGGGAGTACAATAGTTGGTCCCATTCGGGCAGATCCATTGATCCACGTGGCGTCAATCTGATCGATTTTCCGACAGGTATGTCTTATTTCAGAAAATAACGCCGTGTAACCGAAACTGAACAACCTAAAACTCGCAGAAAATAGAATACAAGAGAGAGACAAAACATAATCGTCGGTCAAGAAAAAAAAGATGAACTAACAATCAAAGCATTCAAACTTTTTTCACATAATAATACCAAATTCCTCTGTGTTCGATTGAGACAGTTTAAAACGCTAAGGCAAATTTTTTTGAGTTTTTCTTTTAAAGTTTAATTTTCTTTGCGTCACCCCATCTTTTCACGTGTCTTTCTCTTTATTCTTTCCTTTTTTCCTCTGTTTTCTGTTTGTTTCTGAGGAGAAAAAGTTGTGGGCCTCTACGTTTTATCTGATCCTTCTTTTGACGGTGGTTTTCCTATATAAACTAAGGTGAATCTCGTCAAATTAATATTTCAAGAAAGAGTTTGTAAGGGAAAAATGGAAGGAACAAAGCCAACGAGTTCTTCATTTACTTCTGATCTTTTTGGTTCTAAGGAGTCTTCTGCTTCTTCAACTTCTGGGATTTTTGGTTCCATTTTCCCACCTCCTTCTAAGGTATGAATTTTTAGGTTTTCAATAATTTTTTCAATGAATTATGGTAATTTGTGTTGTGGGTGTTTATGCATTTTTTCCCTTCATTTTGCTCTGTTTTTCACAGATTGGTTAATCATCTCAATGACTAACATTTGATTAATGTTTTAGTTCTAATGGTATCTCGTGTTGATACTACTAATCCTTTATCTCTCCCTTTTTTTCTCTTCCGTCTTTCTTCCTTTCTTGCTTCCCTCTTTTTCTTCCTGAGCCGTGGTTCTATTGGGAACAACCTCTCTATCTGCATTAGGTAGGGTTAAGGTTTGCGTGTAGACTACCCTCCCCAGACCCCGCATGTTGCGATCAAACTGGATTTGTTGTTGTTGTAACCAAATATAACCACATACGTTCATTAGCAAAATTGAAAAAAAGGATAAAAAAATTAAGAGTGGGGCTTTGGGGATTGTAGCCCTGAAGAATTGTTGGATTTTTAGGTTAAAAGTTGACCTATTTGGTAAAGAGCTTGCTCAATTTGAGAATTTTGAAGTCAGACAGACAGAATCTTAGACAAGAATTGAATTGAAGTTGCTATATTCTGTTGGTGTACTTTTGTGATGCCTTTTGACATAGGTAATTATTCTTGTGAGATAAGGATGCCAAACGACGTTAGAATTTTGATGAGAATGTTCTATTCTTCATCTCATATTGCTACATTCTCATGTACCTCAATTCCTTTTCCTTTTCCTTTTTAAGGGACATGGATCGGTACATTCGGAGACGGTTCAACCGAAGCAAGATCCTGTGATTCAGGCAAGAAATGCTAAAGGTGGATATTCAGGTTAGTGATCCTTATAGCTTTGAGAAAAGGAATTTGTTTGGAATCAAAGCAATTGGTGAGATGCTGATCAGTTTTTACAACTTAGGTTTATTTTTCACTTTAATTTGCGACACAGTGAAAATCTTGTTGAAGTATGCGAACATAATACAATTTCCCGTTTGTTTAATTATGTCTTTAACATGACCCTGCACATGTGATCCTTATTCTTTTTCATAGGCTAAGCACATGAACTAATTCTTTTTAATGATGGGTGGCGATAAGACTTGAATTAGGTCATCTGGCTTCTCCGATATGATGTTGAAGTATTTGACTATCTCATCAAGCGAAAAAGTATACTTTTATTTACTTAATTATTTACGAGAGGGAATTTTGCTAACCACTAAAGGCTTTTTCTCTTCAGGTGTAGGATAGATACATAAGAATGAGATCTTTCTTAGTTTGCTGGCTTGGTTTCTAACACTAGTTTTCAAAAGCTTTCACTTTTCAATCCCAGCTAGTTTCTTGTATTAAACTATGTATTGTGTATGGTCTATAGAAAAAGGAGATTGAATTTCAATGATATATAGTATAAGCTTTCCATCACTTGTGTGAGGAATACAATGATTTCCTCTGTATATCAAATAATCAAATTCTTCGCAATTTTTGTTTCTGCAGGAAGTACTACGCCTAGCAATGAAGCTGCACAGAATAAGCAGACAAATTCATATTATCAGAATGAAAAAGTACAGCCATGCCATCTTAGCTCATCAATATACTATGGCGGCCAAGATGTCTATTCATTTCCCCAAAATAACCAGAACTCTACCTACACAACTGTGAGTACATAATCTCATATATGCAAAGGATATAAGGCCTTAGTGTTTAAACTAGTCAATTTATCCGCGCTTTGCGCGGTCCTATTAAACCAATAAATAGCTAAGATATACCTATATTTTAATCTATATACGCAAATATATACCTCCAATTAGATCCAAAATGCTCCATATTATTAATCCACATTTTTTAAAAATAATTATTGTTCTCTAGTAAATGATCATCCACTTCACTAATTTCTATGACGAAAGTTCATGTAACCAAAAGAACATTAAATAATTGAGTAACTACTTCCTTTGTGTACTTTAAAATGATCTTCTTTTCTTGTCAAAACTTTGACAAACTAAAAACTATAAAAGCATTAAAAAGAGCCAAAAAAAGGAGAAAAAAGATAAATGGCTATTCTAGCATATAAGAGGTGCCACATGATTGTCAATTCCCAACTTTATATATATATATATATTTGCTCCTAACAAGACGGTATAGCTTTAGAATAGCAAGTGTTTTTCTTAAACCGGATGATAGGAGTATCTAGAGGCAAATTCAGATTCAGAGTCAGTAGGTTCATAGGGATTGTGTTCGTAGGTATATATACTGTATATAAATTGTCTGTAATTTTGTATATATATGCACACGCATAGTTCAAGTCGAAAACAATGAGTTCATTGCTCATTCTGATGTTTCTATTATTTCCTTTGAGTTCAGTTCAACAAAGATAATGGTGAAGATGATTCTGGCAGCGCGTCTAGAGGAAACTGGTGGCAAGGTGTATATATATAGCGGCTTTAATTGTTAAATTAGTATAATTTCATCTCATTTTTTCATCAATACATCATGGTTTTTCATTTTGCAGGGTCTTTATATTACTGAGATCTCGCTACCTATATCAAGGATTTTACATTTACTCTAGGTATATGACGGACTTGCTTTTATTCATCTAATAAAATATTGATCAGATCGAGTACCTTTGGTCTTTTACTCTTTTTCTTATCAATGCTCCCACAGATTGCAAGTTTCTTTTTTTTTTTTTTTTTGGTTTCAATTTCTTATCTTAATTATTTTCATTGAACTTATCAGGTTATATGTTTTTTTTGTTTGTTCTAATTTATCTTATTTGTCTTCTGGCAGGAAGTTAAGATTAATATAGAGAGAAGCAGTTATCTATAGTCCATATTAAAGATGGATGATTACTAGTAATTAACTAAATATGACCCTTAGTTGGTTGGACCTACATATTATCATAATTATTATAATATAATATGTTGTTATTGTAGTTAGGTGTTTTTCTCTTTACTTTCCTTGTAAAGGATTATAGACCTTATGCACATACTTTATAATGTAAAAACGTTCTGTTTAGGAACTAAGTAGCTTATACCATAAAATTCTGCGCTCTTAGTAATTACTATTAATTTTTTGGCTTCAATACATCTCAAATACGTAAATTCTTTTGCAGAAAATTAAATATGATTTTATATACTTTCTGAAGTTCATAATATCATATCTAACGGTGCTTTATGAGTTTATTAATGTATGGTGGTCAAATTCAAAAAGATTGCGACTTCACAAGAACTATCTTGTGGTTCGTAGAATTGGTTTTCCGTCCATTCATATAACCGTCGAATCAAATCCAATGAATGTGCCCCATGTTATCTTTGTAACAAGTTCAAGAATTTATCCGAGAACTGTTTACTTAGAAAATCTTATGTGATTCTCAATAGAAGCGGTGAGAATAATATTATCTTCGTAACAAGTCAAGAATTTGTCTGAGAACTGTTTACTTAGAAAACTGTATGTGATTCTTAATAGAAACAGTGAGAACAATATCATCTTCGTAATAAGTTCACGAATTTATCTGAGAACTGTTTGCTTATTTAACCGTATGTGATTCTCAAATTTAGAATTTGAAATTAAGATTCTGTTGAACCCATAGTTTCTTTGCTAGCTCCGCCCTTGATCCTCGAACTTATGAGATTAAGGGTGTGTTTGGTATAAAGGAAAATGTTTTCCATGGAAAATGTTTTCCAAGAAAATGTTTTCTTGGAAAACAAGTAGTACTTATTCATTTTCTGGTGTTTGATACGCAAATAGGAAAATATTTTCTCAAGAGTATTCATAAATCATTTTGATACAATAAACATGAAGCCATAGACTTCCGAACCCACAAATTTCATAAACTTCTGAACCGCAAAACTTTTGAAACCGCGAAATTCGAACCCGTAAACTTTATAATTTCTAAACCCGTAAACTTCGAAACACATAAACCTCCGAACTCATAACTTTGGAACTTGTAAAATTTTGAACTTGTAAATCCAAAGATGAAAAAAAGTAAAACTGAATATATATATA